CTTCCAGGACATGAGGTATTCTGAATGTATACCCCAGAGATTGGTATAACCATTTTCAACATGTCATTCAAGGCAATGTATAGATCGGTTAAGCTGCTCCAGCATCCTTAACTTCCATAACAAACTTTATGAGGTAGAAAGGGTAGTATGCGTGTTCATTTAACAGATGAAAAAAAAATGGGGCTTAAAAAAGGGTGATGACTGGGGCTGCGGACGGCGGAAGGACCTTACACTCCTTATCTATCCAAAAGGCACGTAACAGTGCCTGCCTGTAGACTAAGGGGCAGAGTCCTATGCAGAGGCTGCTTCCAACTTCTACCTTGTCAAGTACTGCGGAGGCCAGAAACATTTCATTCTCCTTTTAAAATATTTTCTATTATTTTTAAGAGGAGGAAAGAAAAAAAACAAAGGAGATGTTTTGATTTTAAAAGGAAGTGAAAAACAAGGCAAACCGCACGGGGAAAAGGGCCTCTTGTAAGAAGTTTCTTAGTGCTGAGGCAACAGGGGAGCTCATTCCCCTGCTCCCCCATCACCGACACAAAGGAAGCCTCAACTACAAGTTGTTTTTTATTAGACAGTAGCTCTGATATCACAGTTTCCCTTCCTTATTGCTAGAATCCAACACCTACCCCCTGCAAAAGAAACATTCCCCAGGACTGACAAGAAAAGAGGAGTCTTATCTAAAGATATTATAGTTCCAACCACCCAGGGGGTGACACAAAAGGCCTTTGGTATAAAAGCAATATCCAGAAGCAGATCACTGTGAACTCTGAGGAAAAAAGAGCAATAGTAAGGGAAGAGGAAGGAGAAAGGTATGACATCAAAGTAGTTACTGTTAAAAAAAAAAAATGCCTTGGGATAAGACATTAGGCGCTCTAATAAATGGTCAGTGTCATAGTGATAATGTCAATTTTCAAGAAAGCATTTGCCAAATTATAGCCACTATTCTGAGAAAGGAATTCCTCTGACAGCACTGTTTGACCCTTTTTAAGATCCTCGACCCATTCTACCGCAAGAAATGAGGACTCGTACTTGCTGTCCTATGCTCCCAGAAGACATTAAGTAAGGATCCTGGGTGAAGGAAAACAATCCGCAGCAGCAACAGCATCTGGGACTCCAGCTAAAGCTACCAACAAGTATCAGCTACCTCTGTCTGCAGATACACCAATAGGCAACATTATCAGTCACTCGAAAGGCTCTGAGAGAGGCACAGTAAACCCAAGGGATCTTTAAGATTCTACTTTCTTTATGCCACATTCGCCAATAATGGCGTTCCTTGGGATTGCACGTTCCTTCTACCAAAAGATCTCAGAATGCTTGGGGGACACTCTCCCACAGGAGAGAAGAGATCCGGTGGCTCCTATAAAAGGAAGAAGGTAGCAATGGTGACCGAGGAAAGCGCTGTCCACAGACAGGATGTCTCAAAGTAATCTGGAAAAACTGTCCCCAAATTAGGTCAGGGAGTCACCTCAACCACTACCTCAGACACTCATTTCCAGTTTAGCTTTAGATCCTCAGTATCTCTCCTCATATGCTAAACTACAACTCCACTAATCACCATCTGGAAGATTCCAGCAAAGTAACCTCGGCATACCCTACAGCAGTGCAAAATTCCAGACATTTGTAAACATTGTACATCTTGCTTTTGGCACAGGGGAGAGCTTATGGGTTCTTTATCTTTGAAGTGAAGATTCGAAACACAGCTAGTTCCTATTCTATAGCCATTTTCAGCAAAGGCATTGGCAGTCTTGATAGTATATGTGCATATATATATATACTCATGAATGAAGAGAACCATCAAAATAAATTCTTTAGGACATCAGTCAACAATTTAAGTAGATACTTGGTTAAATGGAAAACAACGGCTTCACAGTATCTAAAGGCATGTACTTTCAGAAGTTCACATGACTCTCTGTGGGGAAAAAAACCCAAATATCTGGTTAACAAATTTCCTCCTTTTGGGGCACCTGGGTGGCTCAGTTGTTAAGCGTCTGCCTTTGGCTCAGGTCTGATCCCAGGGTCCTGGGATCAAGCCCCACATTGGGCTCCTTGCTCAGCGGGAAGCCTGCTTCTTCCTCTCCCACTCCCCCTGCTTGTGTTCCCTCTCTCTTTGTGTCTCTCTCTGGCAAATGGATAAATAAAATCTTTAAAAAAAAAAAAATTTCCTCCTTTCTAAAGAGAACCAAGAGACAATACTACAATAGTTCTGTAGAACCCAAGATCTAACATTCACCAATTTCTCATGAATAACTGTTCAAAGGAGCCAACAATGCACTGAACTATTTTTAAAAAAAAGTTACAAATGATCCTGACCTTTAAAAATAAATTCTTACAAACAAAATAATGTCCCACAAAGCATTATATACACCTAAATATGCATAAATTATTATTTAAAACACAACTGCATATTTCAAATGCTTGGCAGTGATTCCATCTCATATTAGAAAAGTTCATGGCAGTTTGTAGGCCGGCCTGGCTGACGGTGATCCATTGTTCAAGCCTAGGATTGCAAACCTTTGATATTCCAGAGGTGGACTGTGGGATGGCAATATGCATCCGAAGCTTGGTCTTAAGATTTTTATAAAGCCTAATTTAAGTATTTAATACAAAAGCATAGCAAATATTGTAAGTACGGTGCAAGAACAGTGAGTTAATGAGACAGGAGACATTTTTAGCTGTAACCTAGAAATTCATTGTTTCTAAAGATTTTTTGTTTTTGCTCTGAACTTTCTGTCCAGGATAACATGATCATAAATATTAAATGATAATTAAAATAAGAAATTTGGTGCTAGGGCACCTGGCTGGCTCAGTCAGTATAGAGTGTGCAACTCCTGATCTCGAGCCCCATGCTGGGCGTACAGATTACTTAAAAAAAAAGAAAAGAAAAGGGAAGGGGAAGGGGAAGGGGAAGGGGAAAGGGAAGGGAAGGGAAGGGAAGGGAAGGGAAGGGAAGGGAAGGG